GGAGGCGGTGAGGAAGACTGTGGGGAGGGAGGCTGTACAGGGGGGGCTACCGAAGGGGGAGGGCTAGCCTGAGACACACCAGACGGGGCTGGACCAGGGGGGGGAGGCTGTACCGGGGGAGCAGGCGGGGGAGCGGCTGTCAGGAAGAGGGGGGGAGGAGGAACCGGGAGACCTCGACTGGGGTACCTGACGTAGTACGGGGTGGACTCCTCGAAACGGACGTCACGGGAGTCAAAGAACCGGTGAGAGGGAGGGTGGTAAAAGGTGAAGTCAGAGGAGTCCTCAGGGAAACCAAGGAAGACACAAGGAACGGCGCGAGGCGAGAGCTTGTCCGCGGAGGTGTCGCGGACAAGAGCCAAGCACCCCCAGACACGAAACCTCGACGCGACACCAGGGGACCCTGTCCAAAGACTGGTCGGTGAAGCCTCCGGCCGAGAGACGCGTGGCCAGAGGTTCAGCTGGTGCGCGGCGTACCTGACTGCGTATGGCCACAGGAAATGGGGGGCACGGGCGTGAGTCAAGGAGGTGCGGGCAATCTCCATGACCAGGCCTATGCGACGCTCAGCAACCCCATTCTGTTGTGGGGACTCCGGAAGCGTCCAGGACTGACGAATGCCCTGTTCGCGACAGAATCCAGCGAGAATGCCGGAGCGAAACTCGCCCCCGCGGTCGGAGTGGAGACAGCTGACACGACGACCACGAGTGTCCTGGGTGGTAAGCAACCACCTGATCAGCGTAGAAGTCACCTCAGACTTCCTTGCCAGGGGGAACACTGTGGTGTAGCGGGAGTAGTCGTCAACGACCACAAAAAAGAAACGCTCACGCTCAGGGCCAGGGCGAGGAGAGGGGCCCCAGACGTCCAAGTGCAGCGTCTCAAAAGGCTCGGTGGCCGGACGAAGGGAGGAGGAGTGAGGGGTGGCACGCAGCCTACCCTCGACGCAAGGACCGCACGGTGGTGCAAGAGACGGCGGCAGCGACGGCAAGACACGCGGGAGACCTAAGACCAGACGCTGACTAGACATAGCACGCAGACGTGGAAGAGAAGGGTGTCCCATCCGGTGGTGCCACAGAACGGTGGGGTGGGCAAGCGACCGACAGGAGCAAGACGCAGCGACTGGACTGGACGCGACAACCTGAGGGGACGGAACCACCTGGTGAGACGCAGGGAGGAGACTAGGGGGAGGGACAGGAACTGGGAGGAGTGGCTGCTGCGACGGCGGCCGCTGTGGCTGCGGCTGCGGCTGCTGCCGCTGCTGCTGCTGCTGCGGCTGCTGTTGCTGCTGCAGTTGCTGCTGAGCGCGCGGGCCAGTGTGAAGAGTGTAGAGACCGGAGCCCGGCTCAGCAGCAAAAGTGGCGAGGGGCTGGTAAGAGTCCCCGTCAACACACACCGCAGTCTCTCTAGAAGGCTCAAACCACACACCCACGTGCTGACTCACGAGGGGTCGCACGCCCACCAAGTTCCGGGAGAACGAGGGGACGTGAAACCCAGTGAGAGACCCAGAAGGAGCAGCCGGACACGGCAAGGTGGTAGTGTGACGCGCGGTGACTGGTCCCGAAGTGGGATCAGCCAGCGCCACAGAAACAGGCGCAGGAAGAGGCGTAAGTGTCGTGCTGTCACGAAAGAAGCAGTGAGAGGCTCCAGAGTCCAGCGTGAACGACAGCGAACCGTCCTCTGAGGTAGCCGCTGGACTAGAGTCTACACAAGAACCTACACTAGCAACAGGCAACTGAGCAAGGCTAGCACCTAAGCTAACAACACCAGAGTAAGCAGAGTCAGAAACACTAGAGTCAACAACAGCATACATAGCATGGGGAGTACCAATCAGATCAACTAACTGCTCAGCAGACATGCCCCACAGAGCGGAGCCGTAGCGCTGAACAAGAGGCAGCCAGTCAGGGGCAGGAGCACCAACCCCGTAGACCAAACGAACCGTGTCAGTGAGCTGAGCAAAGCACTGACCAGGGGGGTGAAACCGGCCACAAGGGTGGCCACGACGAGGGCCTGTCAGAACCTGGTAGGTGCAGGGAGTGTAAGCAGCACCGCGCTGGGTCTGACGCAGCCCCGACCCTGGAGCCAGCTGCTGCCGCTGCTGCTGCTGAGGCTGCTGGGAGGAGAGGGGCTGCTGGTGCTGCAGAAGCTGCTGCTGACGCTGAGCCTGGTACCACGCCGCTGCTCCACCAACCGGGGCAGGAAGTACAGGAGGCGACTGACGAACTCGGGCGTCGCCACCACTAGCAGGCGCAGTGGAGTCACCAGTCACTGCACGAGGCGCCTCTCCAGGCCCTGAACCTCCACCGCCGCCAGGCGCAACGCCACCTCCACTACCTCCGCCTCCACCTCCACTACCACCACCAGAACCGCCTTTCTTGCCACTCCTACCGCGGGACCGCGACGCAGTCGTAACAGCAGCTGCAGTCGCGTCAGTAGCGGCAGTGGCAAGTGAGGCAGTAAAGGTGGGTAACTGCGGGACTGTGCACCCGTGGAAGAGTGGGGGGGGCACAGCACCAGAGGCAGCGGCTACCGAGCGAAGGTTGCTCTCGACGTCCTTGAGTGCAGACTCAAGGACATCGACGGTGAGCTCACTAGGGTGCTTCAGCAGAAGCGCGTCACGAACAGAGGCAAGGCGGTCAGGGAGGCTAGTGGCGATGAAATAGATAGTAATCGCCATAGGGGGAGGAAGCAGTGCAAGCTGTGCCTCAGTGCAAGCAGCGCGGTAACTAGCGTCGAGCGAGCGGAGGTGAGCGATCAAGTCAGCAGAGCGCTCAAACGAGGCGAGATCAGGAAACAGGAACGGGAGGAAAAGACGGCCAAGAGAGACAGTAGCGGGAGTAGAGTAGCGGGCCTTAATCGCAGTGAGGTACGCAGCAGCGGTGCGAACCTGAGTGAAGTGGACCTCCTCTGACTCAGGGAGGAGGCTGCTGAGTGCGATGCAGGCCGCAGCGTCACGCGACGTCCAAGCCGTCCTGTCAGCGCGCTGACGGGCAAAGCGAGCCGTAGCAGCATCGTCAGGGGCAGGACCTAAAGCGGCAGGCTCGGGGGGCTCGGGGAGGTCACCAGTAGCGTGCGACCAGAGGGTCTCGCCCCCCTGGACTTGACTCTCTAACAGACGGCGAGCGCGAAGAAGCCAGACGGAAAAGTCAAGAGGTCTACCGTCAGCGTCGAAACGAAGAACTCGCGGAGTCGCCATAGCGAGAACTAACGCGAACGAGCAGGCGAGTAACAGCAGGAGGTAAGAGGCAAATTAGGGTTCAGGTGGGGGGACTTAGTCGCAGCGGAAGAACGGGCTAGGGCGACGGGCCAGGGCGTAGGGTCGACGGGACGGGGGAAAGGGCGGGCGCGATGCGACGGGGCAGGGCGACGCGACGGGGCAGGGCGACGCGACGGAGCAGAGGCGACGGGACGGGGAAGGGCGACGCGACGGGGCAGGGCGACGGGACGGGGAAGGGCGACGGGACGGGGCAGGGCGACGGGACGGGGCAGGGCGACGGGACGGGGCAGGGCGACGGGACGGGGAAGGGCGACGGGACGGGGCAGGGCGACGGGACGGGGCAGGGCGACGGGACGGGGGGAAAGGGCGCGACGCGACGGGGGGAAAGGGCGCGACGCGACGGGGGGAAAGAGCGCGACGCGACGGGGGGAAAAGGGCGCGACTCGACTGGGGGGAAAGGGCGCGACGCGACGGGGGGAAAGGGACGCGACGAGGGGGAAAGGGCGGGCAGGACGCGACGCTAGGAGTGGCGCTAGGCGCGGCACTACGCGCGGTAACAACGGAACCGGGACGAATGAGAGCTAGGATCAGGCTCGGGAGGCTCGAACGGAGAACGGAGGAACGGGATCCCACAGGATCCTAACCTAACTGATACCATGTCAGAATGAAGAATGGATGGTGCATTGATGTTGGTTGGGGTACATATAGCTAACCCTAAGTTTTGTACCCCCTAAGACAAACCTCACTATAGGCTACAACATTTGACACTGCATTCATTGTATTCAATATTGATTCAGTCACAGTCTCGTTATTCGTTTACCTGCGTACTCTCTTTTACAACTCATAACAAACACACCAGGCCGTCGCAGCACTGTAGCGAACATGTCGCCCCCGAGCCGTTACGAGGAAATCCGTTCAATTCTCCCTATGTTTCCTTCCACCGATTTTTGTCGTGGGCAGTGTGGTTCGGTGAGTGGCATGGAGGAATCTTTTCCCGCCGGTGTTCCACCCCACCCCTAGCAGTGCCCCTTGGTTTTCCCCTACGCAACAGTTTTACGTACGACCTCGCCCGAGCTCCACAACCTTCGCGCTGAACGGGTGGTTTTGTGGCCTGGGCTTGCCTTGCCTCGCCTCGCCTTGGGTTGGGTTCACTTCTTGCTGCCTTGCTGCCAGCAGCGGGCAAATGTGGCTGATGCATTCCTCCGGTTTGCCTGACTGTCTCACCATGCGCAGCTTTTGACCTGTATCGGCATTACCAGTGCCGCCTCTGCCAGCCTGTTTCACACATCGATCACCCTCACGACCTCCCCTTTTCCGCGAGGTTAGACGCATCTCAATACGGTGCAGAACTGTTTAGCAAAGGTGCAGAGCGGTTTCTTACCAGAGTACACCATCGCTGCTCGAGATTGCCAACTTCGCCTTGGGTTTCGTGATCCGTTCGTGTACTCACCTTCCCAGATGCGAAGTCTTCCCGTCTGCTATGTACAGTAAGGACAGCACCTCTTATTTCTGTTTTGGTAACAGCAGACCGATCCCGTTCGGTCCTAGCCTCCTATACAACCCCTGAATGCGTATCCTGCTAATATTGTGGTGTTATCAGTTGGTTCCCAGGACATGCCAAGCGAGCTCCCAACGATTAGCCAGTCGCATAGTCGCGAGAGTGGCGTAAGTGACGAAGTAGGCGACAGCCATTGGGACAATGGGATTCATTCGCCGGTGAGAGTCACAATGACGAGGAGAGAGCGAGCTCTGCAGATGTGCGGCGTGCTTAGCGCGAACCGATTCTGCAGAATGGGATTCCCAGAACGAGACGCAGACGCGGGGGAAGATGACGAGGAAGCGCAAAGAGTGGCGGGTTCAGGCGCGGCGAGCAAAGCTAAGAAGGTCGCGATGAAGAATAAAGCGAAACCGGAGGGAGCGGAGAAGGAAGCGGGGGAGGAAGCTGGGGAAGGAGCGGAGGAGGATGACGCACTCCTGACGAAGAAGCCGTCGAAACGGCAGCAGTTGATGCAGCACTTTCAATCCCCCGTTTTTATCACTCGGCTAGTTATGATGGTACGTCATCGTACGGCTGGAGTTTAGAAATTTTCAATATTGGTTAGCTTAGAGCTGGAGGAGCTGCGCGCAAGTCTAGAGTCTATTACTCTTGTGTGCCCGTGGATCATTGATTTCAAATCCTATCGTAGGCCCGTTGCTGCACTCAGCTTGTTTGTGGGTAAAAAGTCTCGTCGTCTGAACCCTAACGAGTCTCGTCGTCCGAACCTAACGGATCCGTTTCTCTTAGGTTCCTGTTGTTTCTGCCTCTAGACTAGAACGTAGCTTTCGCTGGACCTGTCGGGTCCAGTCTTGGTTCACCACTCCGGACTTCCATGATCATGTGCGTCAGTCGTGGAACGTTCTTAATCTCGCTAGTCTGATTAGGGTTCGTCTGTCCTGCCTGTCAGTCAACGATGGCGTTTCTGGTGGTAGTGGCGGTGGTGCTGACGCTTGAGAATCTGTTGGTGATTGGATTGGCAGGCGTTTCTGGTGATAGTGGTGGTGGTGCTCACGGTCGGCACGTGGTTCGCCGCCAAAACTGTCTACAGCCAATCCCTCGACGCCGTCGCCCTTCAGTACGTTCGCCCGCTCCCGCTCCCCGTCCTTCCCGCTCCCCGCCTTCCCCGCTCGCTATTCCCCTCCCCACTGACCCCACGCAACGCAATCATCGCACACCACAATCTGCTCCACAATTGACCAATCTTAGCCGCATATTTCGCGGTTCTCCGCCTTAACGTGTGAGTCGCGCCCGTCTTGTTCCCCCCTGGCCGTGTTTTCGTTTCTAACGATCTCAGCCGCCTTTGAAGCCTGACGCCAAACCCACGTCTGGGCTGCTCATAACGACAGATTGGGGTTCAGTTTGCTCAATCGCGCGTCCCGTTGCCCGAGTTCCCCACGCTGCTTGAAGGTTCACCGCAGTCCTTTTTTTTCCCCTTCCCGCACTACCCGTTCCGTTGTTCTAGAGGAAACTCAATAGCACAAGTTTCTGCGGCCTCCCACCTCCCGCGCTCTCTTCCGCAGGCTGTACACGACCAGATCCGGTTTGCTGTGCTCACTTCCTTCCCTTTCCCCCGTTACGAACGATGCTTGAAGCGTCCGGCCTCCCCTCTCCAGACTGCGCGAGAAGACCCTAGTGAGCGTGCAGGAGCAGTTTCTAAGCTGCGACAGCTACGGGAGATGCTTATAATGCATTTTTCCTTCCCCCCTGCTCCCCCCCCCCCCCTCCACTCCCTCTCTGCCCCGCTCTCGTCAGGCAGCGCGAGGAGACCCTAGTGGGCGTGCAGGAGCAGTTCCTGCTGTACATAAACCACCAGCGCGATGTATTGAGGATGCTTGTAACGCATGTTTCCTTTACCCACCCCGACAACCTCTCCTCCCTCTGCAGGCTGAGAGAGAAGACCCTAGTGGGAGTGCAGGAGCAGTTCCTGCTGTACATAAACCGCGACCGCGACGTGCTCGTGTCGCTCTCCTCTGTTCTCGAAACCACCTTCACGCAGCTGCCTACATGGAACCTAACCCTTAACGATAACCTCAGACTGGTGCGTGGGTGACGTTTTGGTAAGCGGTGGTGGGCGGTGGCGAGAGGAAGTGGGCAGACGGATTTGAATGCATACATGCGTGTGCTTCACACACACGGACAATCACATGTGCTCCCAATCATGCAAACACACAGATGGCATCATGATTATATGCATATGCCATCATGTGTACATGCATATGCCATCACGTGTACATGCATATGCCATCACGTGTACATGCATACGCCATCACGTGTGCATGCATATGCCATCACGTGTACATGCATATGCCATCACGTGTACATGCATATGCCATCACGTGTACATGCATATGCCATCACGTGTGCATGCATATGCCATCACGTGTACATGCATACGCCATCATCACGGCTATATGCATATGCCACACGCATGGGTCACTCCTGTGTATCTCCCCTTACGTCTAAACCGTTCACTTATTAACACACCACGCATCCACACTGGGACACGTTAGCACCCTGCTCCTCACCCTTCCTCCCCATCCCCCCAACCCGTTCCGCCACCATCCCCGCCATTCCCCCCTTCCCTCCCCTCCCCACCTCCCAGGTCCGTCCCCTACTCTGGTCCTTCTTCAAGAGCTCCCTCCCACACATCACAACTCTCGGCTACTACAGCATGACAGGCCCTTTTGTAACATACGCACAGTACGACCTGGCGAAGCAGTCCTTCGCCTCGCAGGACGGATCCCTCTCCATGGTCTACTCCTCAGACGTTCGCGTCAACTCCACCGCGCCCTGGTTCATCCTGCGCACAAACTCCTCCTCCGGGCTGCCCGCGAACAACACCCCGACGCCGTTCAAGCCGCTACGACTGGGTTCCACAGAGCTCTACCAGCAGATCGAGCGCGGGGAGGAGAATCTCCTCTGGACGTTCAACGCAATCCAGGACCTGTCAGGTCCGATGCTCGTCGCCACGTCAGCGGTGCAGGTCACAGAGAGGCGCGCCCCTGTGGGCGTGCTCATTCTAGGCACGTCCGTGGGTGTGGTGAACAGGTTTCTCGTGCAGGACACAATAGATGGCTGTGTGATGTACATTGGGAGCTCCGAGGGTTTCCTGGTGGCGACTTCGACAGGAGTAGCTACGTCTACTCCGACTGAAGACGGGCGGCTGCAGCGGTTTGTGAATGCGACGGATGTGGAGGATGCTACGATTGCTGGAGTGGCGCGGTATCTGGAGGGGGAGTATGGGCTGCCGGCGCTGGTGGCGGGGAATTATAGCTTGAGTAATGTGGACGTGGTGGGGCGCGCGTGGTACGTCAGCAGCATGGGCTTCGCCGTTGATAACCTGCGACTGGTGAGTTGATAAGCTGGGGTGGGGGAGTTGAAAGGCCGAGGCTGGTGGGGTGATAAGGTGAGGCTGGTATGGAGGAAGGTTGGGAAGGAGTGTGGGATGAGAGAAGGGAAAGGAGTTACATGTCTGGTATGTTATACGGTCGGGCAGAAAGTATCAACTTTGCCTCTTGCATGTGACGTCCCCATCCCCCCTGATTCCTTTCCACCCCTCTCCACCCCTCTCCACCATTCTCTCCAACCCACCAGTACCTGGTAATCATCCTGCCACGCACATCTATAATGGGAACAGTGGACCACGAAATGGAGACGATGATCATCGTGACCTCGTGTGTGGCGGTGGGGCTGCTGCTGCTGGGGTGGGTGGTGGTGATCTTCCTCACGCTCTACGTGGACACGCGCATGCGCCCCAAGGAGGAGCTGCAGCGCCAGAAGGAGGAGACGCAGCGGGCACAGGCGGCCTCCGAGGTCAAGAGTCAATTTCTTGCTAACATCTCCCATGACCTGCGCACGCCCATGGCCGGGTAAGTGAGGAGACCTTTTCCTTTCCCCCTCTCCCCCTCCTCCGCTCCCCAAACACTCACGCCCTGCGCACACACTACAAACACACGCACACGCACCTGGGTGGGGTGGGTGGTGGTGATCTTCCTCACGCTCTACGTGGACACGCGCATGCGCCCCAAGGAGGAGCTGCAGCGCCAGAAGGAGGAGACGCAGCGGGCACAGGCGGCCTCCGAGGTCAAGAGTCAATTTCTTGCTAACATCTCCCATGACCTGCGCACGCCCATGGCCGGGCCGGGTAAGTGAGGAGACCTTTTCCTTTCCCCCTCTCCCCCTCCTCCGCTCCCCAAACACTCACGCCCTGCGCACACACTACAAACACACGCACACGCACCTGGGTGGGGTGTGTGGTGGTGATCTTCCTCATGCTCTACGTGGACACGCGCATGCGCCCCAAGGAGGAGCTGCAGCGGCAGAAGGAGGAGACGCAGCGGGCGCAGGCTGCTTCTGAAGTGAAAAGCCAGTTCCTCGCTAATATCTCCCATGATCTGCGCACGCCAATGGCCGGGTGAGTGAGTGGTTGGTTGGGCATCTCTCTCCCCTCGCTGCTGAACAACCTGCTGGACCTCGCCAAGGTGGAGGCGGGCCGCATGCAGCTGGAGGTGTTGCTCTCTGCTCACCTGTGTGCTCACCTCCCTCCCACTCCCTCCCTTCCTGCCTCTATCCATTCCCCCCCACCTTCCCCCGTTCCTCCCCCGCCCGTGCCTCTCCCTCGTGCAGCATCCTGGGTCTGCTGGACATCATGCTGTGCGACCATCTCACAGCGGAACAAGAGGCGAATCTGCGGCAGATGAAGTCGTGCTGCGCGTCTCTCCTTGGGTTGCTGAACAACCTACTGGACCTGGCCAAGGTGGAGGCGGGGCGCATGCAGCTGGAAGTGCTGCTCTCTACTCACCTCCCTCTTGCTCCCTGCCTCCCTCCATCCATCACAACCCAATTTCTCCTGTGCCCGTTCCCCCTTCTTGCAGCATCTTGGGCCTATTAGACATAATGCTGTGCGACCACCTCACAGCAGAGCAGGAAGCCAATCTGAGGCAGATGAAGTCGTGCTGCGCCTCTCTCCTCGGGCTGCTGAACAACCTGCTGGACCTGGCCAAGGTGGAGGCGGGGCGCATGCAGCTGGAGGTTCTGGAGTTTGACATTGTGGGCGAGCTCGAGTCGCTGGTCGACATGTTCAGCGTGCAGGGGCTCAGCAATGGCACGGAAATCGCACTGGACCTCTCAGATGATATTGAGCGGACGGTTAAAGGGGACCCGTCCAGAGTCAGACAGGTGAATGAGAGGGGGCTGTTTCTTGGGATGCTGGAAAGATGGCTTGTGTGTGTGTGTTCTGTGTTCCCCGTGCCTTCCCTTCGCAATCTACCAAGATGTTTCTCAATTCTCACTTGCCCTCAACTCAGCTCTCCCTGCACTCCCTATTTCCCCCTCTCCGTTGTCTCCTTCGTTTCCCTTGTCTCGATCTTCTCCCTCCCCCTTGTCTCTTGTGCTCCTTGTCTCCATCATCGCCCTGTCCACTCCCGCCGCCCGCCAGGTGTTCGCGAATCTGCTGAGCAACGCATGCAAGTTCACGAGGAACGGGCAGGTCATTGTGAGGGGGTGGATGAGACACACCCCGCCACCCCACCTCCGCGACTCGGACCTGTCCATCCCAGGGGAGAAGAAGTGAGTGGGGGGAAATGAGCGAGGGGGTGAATGAGCGAGGGGGTGAATGAGCGAGGGGGTGAATGAGCGAGGGGGTGAATGAGCGAGGGGGGCGTCTGTGTTTGAGACACATTGACATGAGGGCAGGTGGAAAGTACTGGGGTGGGTGGGGAGCACTGGCGGGTGAAGAGGAACGGTTGGGGGATGGGGCAAGAGAGGGGGGTGCATGGGAGGTGGGGCGGACAGGGGCGGGAGAGCACGCAGTTGGGGACTGGTGAGGGAGACTGGGAGGAAGGAGGTCAGGGGTCAGAGAGAAATAGGAGGAAGAACCCGAGCCGAGCCTCATGGCCGTTCCCTTCCACTCACCCACGCCCCACTACTACTTTAATGCAGTATCCCTCTCCTCATGTATCCACTATTTGTATACGTATCATTGAGGTGGACATATGATGAGTCGCCTTACCCCGACACTTACAGCCTCCCTCCCCACCCCCACCCCCACCCCCACCACCCCCACCACCCCCACCTCCAACCCCCCCCCACCCTCACCTCTGACCTTGATCTTTACCCCTACCTCACTTCATGGTACCAACAGGCGGCTTTTGAGAGCCGCAGAAGCCATCCCCTCCTGCTTCCACCCTAATCACTCCTCTAAAACGGTCATTCAAATCTCAACCTTGATGCTCACACTCAAGCCCCCCTTGGCCCCACGCTCCGCTATCTCATCACATCCCAGCTAATCCATTCACATCCCTACGAATGATAACAATCAAATTACCATCCCCTTCCTCCTCCTTCCACACCCCCCCCCCCCTCCCTCTCTCCTCACTTTCCCACCCCCCTCCCCTTTCCCACCTCACTCCCCCTCCTCCCCTTCCCTTTCTCTCCCCTCCCAGGCGAGCCAGCCACGATGCAGACAGCACGTTAGCCTCAGCCACCTCTACTGCTGCCGCCGACGCTGCAGGCGGCGCAGAGGGCGACCCATCAGACCCTGCAGCAGCTGCAGGCGCAGCAGCAGCAGGGGGGGCGGGAGGGGGTGCCGGGGGAGCGGGGGGTGCGGGTGCGGGGGGGAAGGAGGGGGCGCGGGAGAGGCGGATGGTGACGTTTATGTTTGAGGTGGATGACACGGGCCCGGGCATCCCCGCGCACAAGAGGCAGCTCGTCTTTGAGAATTTTCAACAAGCTGATGCCTCCACTAACCGCACCCATGGCGGCACCGGGCTTGGGCTTGGCATCGTCAAATCCCTGGTGCGTTCCGGCTTGGTTAGTGCCTTTTTTGGAGGTAGGTTTATACCTCGCTCCCTTACACCCTGGCTCCCTCACACCCTGGAGGGCAGACAGGAGGGAGGGGGTTCAAATCATAGCCTCATTGAAAATATCCAAGAATTGGAATGCAAACTGATGGGCACAACACATAGCGGTGGTGGACAAGGAAGGTAAACATGGAGGCGGGGGGAGTGGATTACAGCATGAATAGAAATTTCATTCCGTCCTTCCCACTCTCGCTCCTCCCTCCCCCCTTCCGCAGGTGCAACTGATGGGAGGGCACATAGCAGTGGTGGACAAGGAAGGTCCAGGAGCGCGGTTCCGGTTTGACCTGTGCTTTGAGGCGCTGGACCACAGCAGCGTGTGGAAGAACAGCATGCTGCAGCCCGAGTTCCTGCTGCCCAAGCTCACCACCGTCGAGGGCGGTCAGGTGCTGCTCGCCATGCGCGAGGAGTCCGCCGGTGCCGCCATCGCCTGCGCGTGGCTGGAACGCCGGAAGCTGCACGTGTGGCGGGCCACACAGTGGGGCGATATCATGCCCGCGGTTTCGTCTATGCTGGTTCACCGGGCGTCGGATAGAGCAGGGCTGCAGCCGCGGGTGTCGAGGTCTATGGTGGGGTTTTCCGCGCCGCTGGCCCGGTCGTTTCAGCCGGGAGGGGCTGGGGCGGGTGGGAGGGGCGGTGCAGGTGCGGGAGGGGGGAGGGAAGGGGTGTTTAGCCCGATCCCGGAGCAGAATCAGAGCCAAGGGGCGTCGTTTAGGGAAGGGGGAGGTGCGGCCAGCCCTGTTGCCGGTCCTACTGGTCCTCGCCCCACCACCCCCAGAGATCGCGTCCCCCCGAGCCAACCCTATGCGTCAGGCTCGGTAAACACGGGCGCCGCGGCTGCAAGCCCATCCGGGGTGGGGAGCAGCGCAGGTCCGGGCCGAGCCATGTCTCCATCCCCATCTTTCTCCCGAAGCTCCTTCAACGAGTCGGGCAGGGTAAATAGCCCCGGAACGGTCGGGGACGACGGCGCAGGAACCCCCGGCGGCAACAGCTTCGGATCCGCCAACTCCCGTCTCGTCCTCGCGATAATTGACGTCTCCCTCGTCCCGAACTTGTATCAGTTCATAGCAGAGGAGCTGCATATATTCCGAGCCAGGCTGCAGCACCAGGGGTTTGTGATCGCGTGGCTCGTGGAGCACAACACGTCGGCGGATACGCGGCGGTCGCTGAGGAGGTCCGGGTGTGCTGTGGCGTCCAAGCCCCTGTATGCGTCGCGCATGGCGCCGCTGCTGGCGCTGGCGACGGCGAGGAATGGCGTGGCGCACTCGAGCTCGAGTATTGAGATGCCGCCGCTGCCCACTGCGGGGGCGGGGAGGAGGGAGGCGGGAGGAGGGGGAGGGGGAGTGGGAGGTGGTGGTGCGGGAGGCTCGGGGCAGCACTGGCATGGAGAGGACTCGGTAAGAGATTCTCCCTCCCTGCTGACCTGATGTACTTCTTGTTCTTGTTTTTCTTTGAACGTGTGTGTGTGGAAGGGGGGCGGGGAGGGGGGGGAGGGGGGGAGGGTGGGTGTGTGTGTGTGTGTGTGTGTGTGTGTGTGTGTCTGTGTGTGTGTGTGTGTGTGTGTGTGTGTGTTTCGCTTAATGATGATCAAACCCACGCTCCTTCTCAAAGTTGTGACGGCCCTCATCCTTCCTCCCTTCCCCCCCCTCCCCTTCCCTCCCCTCCGCATTTCACAGAGCTGGTCACTCCCCCCGCCAGTGCAGGAGGAGGACGTGGCAGTGGACAAACAGGCGCCCGCCACGTCAGCAGCGGGATCCCGCAGGGCGCTGCCGTCCCCCGCATCGCTGGCAGCAGCAGCGGGCGGCATGTCTCCGTCTGCCAGATTCATGGCAGGGGGGAGCGTGGGGGGAGGCGGAGGGGGAGGTGGAGCAGGCGGGGGAGGAGGGGGAGGGGGAGCAGGGGGGTTGGGAGGAGGAGGAGCATTGGGGTCTCATGGAGCTGCTGCGGCTGGAGCGACTGGGGAAAGGCCAGGGGCGGCAGGGGGCGTGGGAGGGGCGAGTGAGAGTCAGAGGGATGGTGGCAGTGCCAAGGGGTCGACACACAGAGTGGGCCGCGCTCGCTCCATGAAGGTGTGTGTGTGTGTGTGCGTGCGTGCGTGCGTGCGTGCGTGCGTGCGTGCGTGCGTGCGTGCGTGCTTTCGCGCGCACATGCGCGTGCGTGCGTGTGTGTTCGTGTGTGTGTGCCTGTATGTGTGCGTGAGTGTGTGTGTGCGCGTGTGTGTGCGCGTGTGTGTGCGCGTCACTCCCTCAGTCCTTCTCCCCTTTTCGCCCCCTTCTCCATTTCCCCCTACTCTCCTTTCCCCTTTCCCATGGCGATTTCCCTTCCCTGGTGTGCCATGGCAGCAGCATTCGCCGGGGGCAGCAGGGGAGGGCAACTTTGAGACAGCGCTGGCAGGCAAGCGGGTGCTGATCGCAGAGGACACAGCACTGCTGCGCAAGGTGAGTGCGATGATGGCAGGCACGTCGTCAGGGGGGTGTACGAATTGAATTGAATCCACGTCAGAAGTTCGACACAAGGTTGAAGAGACCTCTTTGGCGGGCATGCGGGTGCTTATTGCAGAGGACACAGCACTGCTGCGCAAGGTGAGTGGGACAGTGGCCAGGGGGGTGGCTGTGGCCTAGAAGCTGGTTAGGCAGAACGTTGAATGAAGGGTCATGCTGGGCACGCGGGTGCTCATCGCAGAGGACACAGCACTGCTGCGCAAGGTGAGTGCGATGATGGGCCGGGCGGACAGTCAAAGGTTTGTTTCGTACGCAGGGTTCGTGAGTGGGCGGGCGGTCAGGGTGGCCATAGCTTGTTCGCGTGCAGAAGGGGTGCAAGGTAGGGACGGTGTGGTCGGTGGAAGCTACACTTGCAACTCCCTTCCCCACGCCCTCCCCCTCACCACCTCATCCTCACCCCCTCCCCCACCCCTTCCTCTCCCCCAGGTGCCCTTGATTCAATTGCAGAAGCTGGGGTGCGAGGTGGAGTGGAGGTGGTGTATTACTGAGGTTGTCTCCTCCTAATTGTAATTCCTTGTACTCGTTGTCTGTTCTACTCCCAACAACTACCTCCATCCATTCCCCACCCCACCCCTCACTCCCTGCACCAGGTGGCGATAATCCGAATGCAGAAGCTGGGGTGCGAGGTGGAGGCGGTGTGTGACGGGCAGCAGGCAGTGGACGCGGTGTGTGACTGACGATTGTCTCCACCCCTGTCCCCCTCCTCCTCCTCCCTTCTCCTCTCCCCCTTCTCCTACCACCAGGTAGCCATAATCCGAATGCAGAAGCTGGGGTGCGAGGTGGAGGCGGTGTGTGACGGGCAACAAGCAGTGGACGCCATTCTCGCCATCTACGCTGCCAGAGACACACAAGGAGACGACGCCATGCACTATGATGCCGTTCTCATGGACTGCCAGGTGGGCTTGGGGAGTCGCTTGCTCATATATGCTCATGGACTGCCAGGTGGGCTTGGGGAGTCGCTTGCTCATATATGCTCATGGACTGCCAGGTGGGCTTGGGGAGTCGCTTGCTCATATATGCTCATGGACTGCCAGGTGGGCTTGCTCGCTAGAAGCCACTCTGTGTGGCTTGGGCTGACTCTTAGAGGTCACCTTGGTTGGTTCAATGTCACATGCTGCTGCGGGCACACAGAGAGACGCCGCCACGCACTACGATGCCATGCTCATGGACTGCCATGTAGGTTAGTTTGCCGTCCCTCTTATGCTCCCTTACTCCATCCACCTTTACTTCAACTTCCCACTCTCCACTCACCCACTGTATACCCCTCCTCATTTCAACCCCACCCACCTTTTCACCTTGGCCAATCTACACCCTCCCACTTTCCACCCTCCCTCACACCCCTGTTTCCGCTTGCCAGATACCGGTGCTGGACGGGTACGGAGCAACAGGAGCTATAGTGGCGGAACGGGCTTCCACACGCCCATAGTGGCGCTCACACCCACCCTTTCACCACTCCCACCACTCCCATCCTTTTCCGTGTCCCCTCTTCCCCCTGCCCTCACTGCAGATGCCGGTGTTAGATGGGTACGGGGCCAGCGGCCATCAGGGCAGCGGAGGCAAGCACGCGGTTCCACACGCCCATAGTGGCGCTCACAGCACACTATGACGACCATGACCAGCGACGACTCACAAGCATGAACGCTCACATCCATCCTCCCTTTCACCGCTCCCACCACTCCCATCCTTTTCCGTATCCCCTCTTCCCCCTGCCCTCACTCCAGATGCCGGTGTTGGATGGGTACGGGGCGACAGCAGCTATAAGAGCAGCAGAGAGCGGAACACGCTTCCACACGCCCATAGTGGCGCTCACAGCTCACGCCATGACGAGTGATGAGAAGAAGTGTCTGGATGCGGGCATGGACGCGTACGCACCCCTTCTCATTCCCCCTCCTTTTCCTTGTCCTCTCTTTCCACCCACGCACTTTCCACCCACGCACTTTCCACCACCCTCCCCCGTTTCCTTTGTCCACCCTTTAGATGCCGGTGTTGGATGGGTACGGGGCAACAGCAGCTATAAGAGCAGCAGAGAGTGGGACACGCTTCCACACGCCCATAGTGGCGCTCACAGCGCATGCCATGACGAGCGACGAGAAGAAGTGCCTCGATGCGGGCATGGATGCGTACCTCACCAAGCCCATCGACCCCGCCCTCATGGCGCACACACTGCTCTCCCTCATGTCCCGCTACCCGCGCTGCTGTGTTCCGCACATCGACAGCATTGCGGGGGGTGAGGAGGGGAGTGTAGCAGTTGACGTTGCAGCTGACGCCACTGCTGCTGGGGGAGGGGTAGACGCATCTGGCTCTTATGGCGGGGAGCGGCCGGTGTCGCCTGCTGCTGCTCTTGCGGTGACCATGCAGCCTTGATCCAGTGTGCTGGGCTGCAAGCAAGCAAGCAAGCATGCAAGCAAGCAAGCAAGCAGGCAGGTGTGCAGGTGTGTGGAGGAGAAGTGTTGTCTGGATGCGGGCCACCAAGCCCATCGACCCCGCCCTCATGGCCCACACACTGCTCTCCCTCATGACCCGCTACCCGCGCTGCTGCGTGCCGCTCAGCGAGAGCATCCCTGAGGAGGGTGGGGGTGATGGGGTAGGCGATGCAGGTGAAGGAGCTGCTGCTGCAGGGGGAGGGGTAGCAGCAGGTCAAGAAAGCAGCATTTGGCAGCTGGGTGAGGCCCATTGAGTACCTGTGGTGGCTGTGATGCTGCGAGCAGCAGGGCAGGGCAGGGCAGGGGGTTCGGATCCGCCCAAGGTGCTAATATCGTGCTGCTTCAGACCCACTACTGCTGCCCCTTCCCTGCTGCCCCTTTCCTGCTGCCCCTTTTCTGCTGCCCAGCTCCTGCTGCGCTTCTACTGCTGCCTGCTGCTTCTTCCCTGCTCCCGCCCTTTCTGCTGCTGCTCCTGCTGCTTCAAACCCCTCTACTGCTGCCCCTTTCCTACTGCTCTGCTCCTGCTGCCTGCTGCTTCTTTCCGTGCTCCCGCCCTTTCCGCTGCTGCTCCCCCGCTCGCCAGAAGGATTTGGTAGCAGCGAAGGGGGAGAAGAGTTGTGGCAGTACAAAGGTGGAGAGACGTGTGGTTTGACACGGTGCCTCTTGTGAAAAGCAGCGCAGCCGCACAGCTGGCGAAGCAACAGTGGCTGTTACAAAATGCCGTGGGCTCGGAAACAACACTGGGCTGGTGGGAGCAGCTCAAGGGCAGGGACTAGAAGGGCGGATGAATCGCTTCGGCTGTGGATTTGTTCGGTCGGCAGCAGCACAAGGGCTGGATCAGCAGCAGCACAAAAGCAGGCTGGGCAGCAGCACAAGGGCAGGCTGGGCAGCAGCACAAGGGCAGGTTCGGCGGCAGCACGGGCATGGGTTGGCAGCAGCACAAGCATGGGTCGGCAGTACATGATCTTCCTCAGCAGGAACATGGGCGGTGGGCAGAAGGGATGGTGTGGTGCCGTGACAACGGCCTGTGACACCACGGCTCGAATCATCCCACACCACCCCGTGCACGCACGCACTCGCTCACTCAAACCTTTTGTCAACAGCATGGTTTTGTTCGTCTCACCAGCAATGCCTGCTAGCTTCATCCGCACCTGCAACAGCAGCAAAGTGGCTGCCACGAGGGAACAGAGGAGCATGGAGAGGCGGCAGCAGCCCCTGGGAAATTGCAGGCAAAGAGAGCAGGAGAAGGGTGAGGGCCAGGGATAACCAGGGAAATGTACGGCTAGGCAACACGAGCTTCTGGGGTTCTTCTTGCATCACCTTCCCATCCTCCCACCATTTAATTCATTCAGTGCGGCGATTTGCGCGCCGATCGTCGTAACAACCACGCTCATTTCCATGCGAAAGGAAGCCGTGGTAGGTTGCATGCACAACGGGTTTCGATCACAGGTCAGAAGCTCTCATTTCCTAATTTCCTAATGCAGGCAGACTGACGGGCTGGTCTCGGTGGCGCAATGCACTTCACACTGTAGCATCATCTATGGCACTAACCTCTTACTGCCCTGTGCTTCTGGGCCATATTGCTACCTGGTGTTCCTTTAGAACCAGGCTGGGCTGCATTAAGTGCATCCCTCACAACGCAAATCATCAATTATCATGTGATTTTTGTGGCTATTGTCCATTCATGTAATTTCCTAATGCTTTAGGTAACGCCCAGTATGATGCTTCACATGTTGAACCTTCACCCTCGAAGTTTTAGATGCCCCCACTCACATGACACCTCTCCCTGCCATGGCAATGTCTCAGCCTGTAGAGGGGTAAGGATGAGAAAGCATTATGGTAAAAGTTTTTAGAAGCTGTGCAGGGATATCGTAGGTTTGCCAACAACATAGTAACCAGATATTTCCACCAGCCAACTACTCTTTGTTCTCACTCATCTCACCGGCGGAAGCACTGGCTACAGTGTTTGGACGTAGCGGGCTGGTGAGATAACTTGGTTGCGGGCAAAGTCGCACGAGGCGAGGAAGCAGGACTTGGGCAAACAAAAAACCGTTAACGCTGTACCGTATAGTTCCGGCTAGAAGACCCGGGGGACTCTCTAGAATTGCTTGAAATTGTGCTAGGGTGGACATCATGGCGGTTGCAAATTTTTAAGACCCGGGGTACACTTATTGATTAGTTATCAATTTGATATTTAGGGTGTACAACACAATTTTGGGCGGGGGGGGCGGGTCTTATATTCGAAACGAATTCGCGCAAATTTCGCACGCGCGGCGCGTCAGATCTGTGTCAGAATTCGAGTCTGACATAAATGAAGTGTCAGAATTCGAGTCTGACACAAAAATCGTGTCAGAATTCGAATTTATGCCAGTAAAAGCTGACGCACAATAACAATAATAGCTACTGTATACAGAAAAGGGGGGTCTTATGATGATTAGAGGCCAAGGGGGGGTCCTCACAATATCTGCCACAATAAGAGTCCCCCTACCCGTTCAAGAGTCCCGGGGGACCTTCTTACCGGCGGGTCTTCTAGCAGGAACTATACGGTATATCCGTCTTAACCGCTTTAAAACCAGCAGTAACATTCTAGAACGTATAAAACCTTGACTCAACGCCTTGGGTCAAATTGTCACTATAACGCATGTGATAGGACCTACTTTGGTCCGCTGCGGCTACACTAAGCGTCCCGGTCAGTATAACATATGCCAGTCTATCGAGAATGAGGGTGTAGAATAATGAACTTGAACTTGTGATATCTTGACGAGCTGTGTGCCTATTGAGAATTTCGGGATTACCTTTGTGGTGGTTCGTTGGCACCAAGTGGGTACAGCATTCGTATTTCGGTCAGGGAGGTGGTAGCTGTTCGTACAGCATTAGATGACCTTGACTGTGCCGCGTGGCACAAGATAAATGGCTAACCTCAAGCAGAGCAGCTTTCAATGCTGCCCGGCACATGATGCCAAAACGGAATTGCTGCAACGATGAGGGCGACGACCTTTTTATCTGCTTTCCGATAGGCTAGCCAGCGACACGCAATTTCTCCACGGACGCAATTTGTTGCTGTGGCATTTCGACGTTCACTTTTCTCGGCCCGGCAGCATAGGGGGGTCTTTCTTCCGACCACTCAGTCGTCAGACCAGAGCAGCAGGGCGAACAGCAGCAGGCTTTCGTCATGTGAAGCAAGGCAGCGCTGCTGCGCACGCATTTCCTCGTTGCTGTCAGCCACGTGAAAAAGCTACTTATTTTCGTAACGTTGGGCGAGCAATTCTTACGTGGTGGCGTACTCCTCCAGTCACCAACCCTAGCTCCCAGCTCACCGTGTCGCTTGACTTGGAGTTCAAGAAACATTCGTCTGGCTCATCGCACTGTCCCCTCGCTCTTCGCGGACACTATAACTAAGTTGGAACTTCTCAACCAAGTCGTGAAACCACCTCGACACCCTCAACTCACAGCCTCTTCGTTCTCCGTACATTTTATTCGACTTCCTGAACTCGAATACTCTCGAAGAAGCTCACGCGATGGACGACTCCATTTTGTTGCTTCTGCCTGACGACAGCGTCAACATTATCCAGCCAGACGCCACCGTCCACGTCAGCGATGTCATAGCTATGTACCCTGGATGCCACGTCAGCAGCCTCGACTCCGACGAAGCCGTCCTATCAACCCACACCGTCCTCCTTCCGGGACGCACGTACCACGTCTTGACCCGCGGGGCGATACTCCGGAGCGACTATTCAGAAGAGAAAACTTTCAAGAAATTGGCACAAGAGCCTTCCGTTGCAAAGGAGCGCGACAGCCCGTCGCCCGAGTCGGATACGGCGAAACCCAACCTTGAAGCCGACGCACCTGCCGGCACCCGGCCTTTTAAAGGCGCTAGTAATAGGCCAAATCGGCGGTCGTGCGCGCTAAACACGGTGGAGCAGGCGGTCAGCGCGTTCGGCGCATGCGTCGACGACACCACCAGCCGCGCCGGCGAGTTTGCGACCGAGATGGCGAAACGCTTTGCTCCCGACGACGACCTATCCCCCCCCGAAGCCCTTCCAGGCGACCATTCACGCTACGCCATGTGGATGGACGATGCGAACGCGTCTCGAAGGCGCACGATCCCGCGATCCACCACCTTCGAATCAGGACCCGGATATGACGTCAGCGGAATCACGAGCGGAATGGCGACTTTCGCAATGGCGGATGCGATGCCGTTCTCCGGCGAACACATCGCCGCGCATCACGCCATGGAGCAAGAGCAGCAGCGGGTCGCCTCTCCAGTCGCCGCGCATCTCGGCAGCCATGCGGCAGCATACCGCAGCCGACACCGACGGGTCGCTTCTCAGTCCCGCCTTTCCCCCGATGGCCCCAACGGCCCCGCCGCTACCCCTCCCGCCGCTGACAGCTGGACCGGCCACGTATCGCCAGCACATCCGCTCACGCAACTCCCGCCCTTTGCTTACGCGGCGTCAACGCAGCTTTCTCCCGACTCGCTCTCGTCCAGCGGTTCTTTCTCCGAGTCCAACGGATCTTTCTCCTCTGGACGCTCCTCCTCAAGCTCCATCGCTCTGATCACTCCCCATGACAGCACAAGCCCCGGATTTGCGGCTAAGTTATTTCCACCTTCCAAGAGGTTCCCCAGCAGCGGCTCGGTCAATGGCAGCAGCTGTGGCAGCATTCCGATTTCCGAACAGCAAGAGGATTCGGGCGCCACCCCTCACGATTCTCCTAGCCGTCCTATCAGACTGCTGAGTGGCAGTTTTAGGGTGGTGTCTTCACCAGGAAGAGAAGACAAACGTGACGGGAAGCATGACTCACACGGGAAGGCTTTGTTGTTAAAATGGTTTTCCAAAAAGCACGGGGAGAGCAATGAAGCGAATTGCAGCCATGGACGGAAAGCAGGTTCCAGCCGACTTTCTGGGTTGTACATAGACAGCAGCAGTGGTACTTGGAGTGAGGAGTGGAGCTAATACCCCCTACTGTCACTTTGCTGGACTGATTATTTTATCCACTCTCCTCCCCCTCCCCTCCCCCCTTCACTAGAAACCGAGGGCCCCTTACAGTGTCCCTACGTAGAAAAATAGGCACCTGATTGCACCTCAGCAACATTTTTCCGCTTATGACGGTATGAGAAACGTGTATTTGTATTTTCTGGTTATATTGATTTATGTTGTATGTATGCTCGTGTATAACACTTGTTAACTGGTAGGGCAACCACCCCCTATTCTGGTGCTCTTATCACAACATGCTTATTTTGAAGGGCGAATAAAGCGGTGGGGTGCCAGCCAAGCCAGCTGACGACACCTGGATTGGTTGGAAAACTTTCAAAATTGCTCATGTGCAGGGCTCTTCTAACCAACTCCACGTCACAACTGTTGACGGAATTTTCTGGGCAGTCATGCATATATTAGTACTTCTTTTACCCTGTGTTTACTGTTCTGTAGGCTGTAGGTGTTGAATTTCATTACATCCGCTCTCTGGTCAGCCAGTTTCAGCGTCTGGACCAGCTCGACCACGGGCAGAAACTTTGCCCAAACTTCCTGCCACTGGCGCCCCGTCATTATGACATGAGGTGGCTCCAACACCGATTCCGAGTGTGAGGTGCAATGTGCCATGCGAATGTTGTGATGTGACAATCGACGCGCTATGGTCGTTGACGAGGTGGCTAGCAGGGTCGACCCGCAATACCCACGTCAACGACTCAGAAAATACCAAAACCATGTAGAACCTTTCTGTTTTCATACCGTTCGATTTATGATCCATCCCACCATGTAAACACGGCAGTACATTCAACCACAGGCCACCAGGGGGAAGGGAAGGCTGCACCTCCATTCACAACCCGAGCCCGATTCAACATCACTCCTCTCCTCATGCCTCTCCCACACCACGCCTTTCATTTTGCGGTGGCTGGCTTCATTTGAACCAGTTTCGTTCAATGTCATCCCATCGCATCGCATAAGAGCGGGAACATCCTCGGCTGCGTTCGGCGGCCGCATTAGCCCGCACCAATGTACATTGCACATTTTTTTCGATGTTCCAGGAGCCTTCCGTGATAACCAGCCGAAAGGCTATCAAGGTTCGTGATAAGCGCTTGGCTGCCGAGGCAGACCAAGCCCGAATGCCTGCAGAGCGGTCTTTTTGGATACAACAAATTTGCATGTCGCCGCTTTCCAGGAAATACAGCGTACTAGCAATCTGACGCATCCTTGATGCGCGCATGATGCAACGCCCTAAACACGCATGATGCGCGCATCAGCTCGAATTGGGGCAATTGAACAGCGCATCATGCATGTGGGGAAGGCGCCAGGTGCGTTCTTCCCCACTTCGATGAAAGCTCAACACCCTGGAATTCGTCGGAATTTTGGGGTCGAAATTTGACATGCCCGAAATTCGACATCCCCAATTTCCGATTTCCCGAACCTGCGTGTCCATTTTCCGAACCTCCATTTTCCAATTTCAATTTGGACATTACCGAGCCTCAATTTTTCAATTTGTCAATTTGCCGAGCCTAGGGCGCATCAGGCTCTGAGGCGGCCGCCGAACGCAGCCCTTGTGAACAAGTATCCCGTCGGCTCTCTGGTCGAACATTTGTCTCGTCAATGGTTTTCGTCAGGTAACACGCAAAACCCCATATCCCAAGTTGGGAACACTTGGTCGCCCAGAAATACGGAGTTGTGATGATACACGAAAGCGCCTGCTTCGTCAAACACCGTGCTGCAAATTGGGTCGCAGCACGTCACTCATGACAACACCTGGTTTCATTTCGCATGTTTTTCCTGGCGTCGCCACTTCTTGTCTATCTGCGAGGTTCAATGGGGCTGTGGAACGTGCGTTCTTCGGGCAGTCTTCGTCAGTCTGCTTCGTAGGTCAATGGCGATGGTCGCAACAATGGTTACCGTCGCTGTTGGGCGACCGTCGCTTTGTTCAAAAGGATGTTCCACGCTCTAAGCGAGGCTAGTCAACAACTCCTCGTCGTTCCATTTCGTTCCATCCCATACAGTACTCACATCCAGGGTCCAGGCCAGGAGCTGCGCCTCCTACTTCCACTCACAACAAATGAATCCATCGACAGTCCCTTGCGCTGCCTTCCATATTATTCCACTGGCAACCATTGTCGCCTCTCACTCACTCTCACATCTTTCACGCATTCATTTCGCAAGCCTCCATCCCATCCACATCCCTCTTCAGGAGGAGTGAGCAAAGCTTCCCTACCTAATCCCATACGCCTGAACCGTCACTTTGAGCACAGGGCCTAGCACAAACCTCTTTCGCATCGCTAAGATATCATTTTCGTTATCCTTTGTCACTTATACCACGCAGCCACCCGCATATTAGCCCCGCAGCCACCCGCACATTAGCCCCGCGGCAGCCCGCAGCGTTAGCTGAAGGATGTCTCTTATGACCCACTAGGGAAAAGAGCACCAAGAAATAAACTTTGGCCTCGAGTTGCGCGTGTTTTGTTAAACTTGAAGAGGCGCGTGGAGTCGCGAGTTTTGATTCGTTATGGCGGCTGATATAGCCGCGCGTTCGCCCCTTCCGCCGCACCACATGCAACATGAGCTGCCCGCGCCTCGCTCTTTCGAGTCGCCTCTCAAGAACCGAGGATCTTACGCCGACCAATCAGAATCATCATCCTACTCCACCCATCCCCGCCACCCATCCGACTTGTCTCGTCAACAGTTGCAGCAGCTGCCATCCGCAACAGCCGCCGCGAAGCCCGCAGCCTCCGCCGGCTCCATCACTTCCGCGAATGGCGGCGCGGCGGCGGCGATACGCTGGATTCGCGGACCTAATCTAGGCGGCGACCCCGCCGGAAAAGTAAATCTCGCGTTAAATTCCGACACCGGCGAGGTTCTGGTGGTCAAGTCCGTGTCGATTAATAGCCTTCCTAAGACCATGCGGCAGCTGGAGAACGAACAGGCGATTCTGGAGGAGCTCCGAACCTGCCCGCGCGTGGTTCGGCTGCTAGGCTCGGCATGGGAATCCGACCCTGCGTCGGGGGCTCGGGTGAAAAATCTGTTTCTCGAGTACGTTTCTGCTGGGAGTGTGCTCGATATCATGGGCACGTTCGGGTGCTGCGGCGGCGCCAGCGGCGGCGGAAGCGGAGGCGGAAGCTGCGGAGGGCTGCCCGAGGCGCTGGTGCGGAAATACGCGCGCGGGATTGCGGAAGGGTTGGCGGAGCTGCACGCGCGCGGGATCGTGCAGTGCGATGTGAAAGCGGCGAATGTCCTTGTTGCGGGGGCGGAGGGGGAGACGAAGCTGTGCGGGCTGGGCTTGACGATGCGCACGGGGGAAGCGGCGCTGCGCATCGCGCGCAAGCAGCGGCTGCAGGGAACGTACGGCTGGATGGCGCCGGAGGTCGTGCGACAGGAAGATCAAGGGTTCGCGTCGGACGTCTGGTCGTTGGGATGTACAGTGATCGAAATGGCGACGGGTTTGCCGCCTTGGACCGGCCAACTGCCGCCGGCCGGTAACATAGACGGCGAGTACATTGCCGATCCGTCACCTGACGCCCTGCTGCACGCGATTGGTTACTCGAACGCGGCGCCGGCTATTCCGGCGCATCTGTCGGCGGAAGCTGTCGGGTTCCTGCGGAGATGCCTTGAAAGGGATCCCGCGCGCCGCCCCTCCGCCGCGCAGCTGCTGGAACACCCGTTCCTCCGCGGAAGCGCGCTCGGCTCCGTGGGTGCGGTCCCCCCCGCGTACCCCATGGCGCAGCAAGCTGCGCGGCCGCCCAGTGGGGGTCGCGGGGGCGGGGCGCGGCGGAGTGAGGATAGTGCGGGACCGAGAGCAGGCGCAGGAGACAGCTGGGTGCGTCAAGGCGCAAGGGGAGGCGCAACGGTCGCGGAAGATTTCTACAGTGAAGGGCGGGAGGGAAGGGAGTGCGAGTGGGAGGAGGCGGAGGTAGGGGCGGTGGAGGAGGAGGAGGAGATGGAGGGGTATGGGTGGGAGGATATCGGGGTGAGCTTCGGTCCTAGTGGAGCCGAAGGAGTTCCCGCGGCTGGCCCTGTGCAGCCTTTTTCGGGCTCCGGTGGTCTTGATCCAACGGTCAGAAGCAGAGTTGGTGCAGGTTCAGGTGGAATTTCAGGTGGGAACTCAGGTGGAAATTCTCCTGGTAGGCTGGTGTCACAGGGTAGCCTGCCACCGGGTGGTGGTAACCAGTTGCCACCACTTCGCAAATCTCCTCTGCAGAGGTCGCAGTCTCAGCCAGGGCAGGTGATCCTGGCGAACACAGGCGGTGGCGGTAACAGCAGTAACTGCAACAACTCGCAGCAGTCGCGACCCGCTTCTCAAAAACCCATGCCGCAAGCGCCATCCCCATACGCACCCCCTCCAATGCCATCCGCCCCAGCCAATCAGCCCATGCCGCCCATGCCAGCTGTAAACTTGCCGCCCGCCCCTGCGCCACTGTTCCACCCATCAGGCATCCGCATGGGCCCTCTGATGCGGCAGATTTCTAAAGAACAGCTCGCCCTGCGCGCTGCCATGGCTGCTGCAGCAGCGGAGACCGGTGGTGGCCTTGGCGGTAACCAGGAGAGGGGTGGTAACCAGGAGAGGAGTGGTAACCAGGAAAGGGGCGGTAACAGCTATGGCCAGGGGCATGGTGTTTCCTCCCCAACGCCTGTGCCCCCTTTGCCTGGGAGGGCGGGCCTGGGGCGGGCATCGCACCAGCGGTCTTGCTCTGTTCAAGGTGACTTTGGGGGACGTGACTCTAACGTGAATGTTTCTTCTGCAGATAAACCACCTTTGCGATTGGTCAGAGGCTCCTCTGGATTGCTACCAGGAGCAAATGCGGCTCAGATAAGTGAGTTTCAGCATAGTGGTATCAGTGGTGGTAGTAGTGGTGAATTTGGTGTAGATAGTGGAAGAGGCGGAAGCAGCATGGGTGGTGATGGTACGGGTCTCAAATCCTGCCTGAGACGAACGAGCTCGTGTGTGCCGGGGGATAGTGGCGGGAATGATGTGGGGG